CGAGTAGACGGTATCTTTTCTTAGAACTTCACACACCTTTTTCTTACTTTTCTTGTTCGATTACTCTCCCTGATCCCAATATTTTATGCTTTTTTTTTTTCAATTTTTCCCTTTTGTGCTCTGTGAAAGCGCATTTTTTTCATATTAATGTTTTAGCTGGGTGGTTGTGTAGTCTGAACATTTTTACGCGCATGAATGATTTTTCTGAGTTTAGTCATTTTTTCTGATGCTTGTTTGTCTGGTTTATAATGAATTTCCTTTAAAATTTAGGGATTTTTGTGTGCTATCTTTTTTATGCTCTTTTCTTGTAATGACTTAAATTTGGAGGCTAATGTTTGCTTAAATTAATTGGCATGTGCCAGATGTCTTTTGGTTCCTTCAGGATACATCTGTCTTTTCTCTGGGGTGCTTTCTTTTTCATTCATCGTGGAAGGTTGTGGTGTGCTCGGAAGACATTGTTTCGGCATTGGACTTGATATTAGCTGATTTGATTGTGAAAGAGTGATAAGAGGAGTTAGAGACTGGTGTGTGTACAGAATGTTCCTTTCACTTTGCCAAGTGTGCTCTGCCATTTTTGTTACAAAGTAGACGTGTCGTTAAACCCTAAAAACCACAGCCTTTGATTCGTATTGTGTGTGTGAGAATTCTAGATTTGGAAGAAGATTCTCTTTGTTTGTTTAGCCTAGTTTTCTGTTATCACCATTCTACATGGGAAAGACATTACTTCCTCCGGGCTTCCGCTTTCATCCCACTGATGTTGAACTGGTCTTGTACTATCTCAAGAGGAAGATCATGAGAAAGAAATTTCATTTTGATGCTATTTTAGAGCTCAACATTTACAAATTCTCCCCATGGGACCTTCCAGGTAAATTTATGTCTTAGTTTTAACAGTCAATTGTTTGTGTTATTTATTTACTCTAACAAAATGATCCCCTCCTTGATCTGTGGAGATACACATGGACATTCTCTTATATTTGACTGTAGATGCTTAAGACTACTAGAATCATTTGATTTTAATTTTTTTGCATTGATCTGTTTCAGACAAATCTTGTTTGAAAAGCAAAGACCTTGAGTGGTATTTTTTTGTTCCGAGAGAGAGGAAGTATACCTGTGGAGCTAGAATGAATCGAGCTGCGGAAAGGGGATTTTGGAAAACAACTGGAAGGGATAGGCCTGTTATTCACGATGAACAGACCATTGGAATGGTTAAAACCTTGGTTTTCCACGAAGGCCATCCACCAAAAGGGAAAAGAACTGATTGGGTTATACATGAGTACAGGATTGTGGACTTGCATACCAAAGAAAGAACTCTTCAGGTGATTGTCTGTTGTGCTCTACTGTTTGAATTGGTGTTTGATTTTTTAAGCTTTCTTTATAATTTCTCTCTGCTATACAGGATTCATATGTTCTATGTAAAGTATTCCAGAAGAGTGGACCAGGCCCAAGAAATGGTGCACAATATGGCGCACCATTCAAGGAGGAAGACTGGGAAAATGATGTTGAGTTTTCTGTTCACCCATTTCCATCTAATATGCTTTCTCCACTTTCAGAGCCTACTAACCAGGCTTGCTCAGTTGTGACTGGTGTGGTTGACCCGGGGTGTACATCTGGTCAGCCCTTATCTGAACCAAGTCCGACCTTTTGTAGTCTCGTTACTGATGAGCTGCTAACTAAGAACCAAACCTGTTCTGTTTTCACGAGTGGTATGCTGGGAAGCACATACATTCAGTCTTTGGTAGAACCAAACCTATCTTCAACCCGTCCTTGTTCTAGTGTGCTTCCACCAGATGCGGATGATCTTTGTTGTTTTTTCGCCTCATTTCCAGAGAATACTGACTTACTTCCAGATCAGAATGTTCAGGTTTGTAGTTTGGCTTTTTACATCATTATTCTTGTAAATTGTTGAATACTACCTCCATCCCGCTTTGTTTGTCCACTTTTGACTTTTGGAACTGTTCATCTAAGTACTTTGATTCATCAAGTTCTCTCAATGTGTAAGTCTAAATATAGTCATGTGTGATCTTGTTTGATTTGTCTTAACATATAGATTATTAATATATAATTTCTATAATTTTTTAATATACAAATTACAAGATAAAATGGATTAAAGAAGTGCATTGGATGGTGTGTAAAAATGAAAGTGGACAAATACTCTGGGACGGAGGGAGTATGTTACTTGTACCAATGCTCTAGTGTTATTGTTGAGGTTCCAAATGTTGGCAGAAATAAAACTTATTGAGATTTGATGCTGCTGTTGAATGATAGGTGAAGACAAATGCTGATGTCACTTTGTGTTGCATGATTGTTAAACCACTACAGCAATTATGGTTTATCTTATCATGCTGTCTGCATGTTTGTATATATGTTGTTTTGGGGTCTTATGGTTTTAATCCTTAGAATTGTTGGGCAGCATCTGCTAAAATATTCTGACATGCCATTTCTCTCTTTAGTTACACTTTATGTTGTGAACTTTACTCATTTCATCCAAAACTTCAATAAGTCGACCTTATTGGAATTTCTTTGGTGATAAATTATACGGAGTACATTCTTTTCTCTGAACACTTGACCCTCCCATCTGTTTGCAGAACCCAGGACTGGATGTTGAAATGATGCCGCTGCGTGTGGATGAAAATGACATATTCAGTGAACTTTGCAATCTTGATAGCTTTGCAGATCTGAACGGAGGCAGATCTAATTTCCATGGAAGTCCACCTGCTCTTGTATCCCCCCGGGAGGATGCTTCCTTTTTTGAGCTTGATGATCTTGCTGTTCCAGTGCATCACACGACTCAAGTTGCTGAAGCTCAACAAGCGTTAGTTGGAGAGACGTTTTGTCCACAGAATAGCTCTTTCCTTTATGTGCAATATTTTAATGACGGAGGCATTGTTCCGGGTAATCAGTTCATTTCAACTGAAAGTCAGCTGCAGCGGTGGCTACTTGAACAACACAACCAGCAAGTGTTTTCCTCAACACACTCTCTCTAATATGGTTTCACGTTTGTGTATTTTTGGAGGGGGGAAACAATACGTTGTAGAAATCTGGGTTTGATGCCCTTAATTAATCTAGATGGAGAGACCATAAGTGAGATAGAAATCATTCTGCTCCTGAATGTTGGGTGGGTCAAGCATGTATGTCATGTTTTGCTAGGCTTCTTTATTCCATTGGACAGTAATCTAATATTTCGCCAAACCATTTTTGTTCTAATGCATTTGTTAAGTATTTCCTATTTAGGTTGCCTCATTATATTTCTCAACCTTTTCACTTCAGTTTATTTTTAAAGGTGCTTTATTGACTTTTTTTGCCCACCCCCACCCAATGAAGTTTTACTTCAAGTGCACCAAAAAAAAGAATTGGGTGCAACATATATTTTATTTAATTATAGATTAAAGATTGAAAATTGAAAAGAGTAAAAATTTGACAAATACTCAAGGATAGAGGTTGTACATAATATTACATAAACAATTTTAACATGGTAGGAATATATGGTGATATAAGGGGTAAGTGCCCAAAGAGTTGAATTTTATTATTATTATATTCCCTTCGTTCTCAATTTGATTACAATTTTTTTCTCATCAAGATAACTTTAGTTTGTTTACGTGATTTTATTAAGTATTTGATAAAATTAAATATTGTTGTCACCTCTTGTTTTGTAGAACTTTTGACGTAGTTTTATAATATGTAATTTTTATTTCTTATTGATATATTGATTAGTAAATAAAATGATTCCATAAAATGAGATATTTTTCTACTCGTAAAGTCCAATTTGTAATCAAATTGGGGAGGGAGGGACTTTACCATATGAAATTTTTTTACAATTTGGAAAGTTTATAATCTACTTTTACGACACTAACCGAGTTATTACTAACATAGGGCTTTTGTGATTATAAATGTACGGGATATATTTGGATTATTTTCAAAATAACATCAAACAAGCCATTTGGATGGATACTAGTGTTCAACACTCTCGACTTCTCGTCCTATTAAGAGCACAATTATTTATTAAGAGACATGTTCAAGTGTTCAACCTTTTATTTTTTTGAAAATTACGTAATACTGCAAATGATAAAGCAAATTCGTTTATGGTTTGTTTGGAAAATTGAATTTAGATTTCAAATCTAGATTTGGTTCGAATTCCATGTTTGAGAAACTTAAAAATTTTGAATTTGGATTTAAATCAAGTTCCACTCATTTATAAGAAAGCTCAATTCAAAATCCATATCTCTCTTCTTCTCATTTGAAATTTAAGAATTTAAATTTTGAAATTGAAATGCATGAATTGAAATGAAATTCTAGTTTCTAAACAGTACCTTAATCATTTTAGTTCCTGTGTATTTTATTTCTTCGCATTAAGGAGCTCTGGTCGAGTGTCTCGAGTCCTTAGAAAAAAATCTTCCTATCAAGGCCGGCCGAGAAGTAGCAAGCCTACTCCTCAGGATTAATGGGGAAGTTCACCCAGATTCGAGCCTAGCAGAGCCATAAGCATTGGCTCTTTGTGCGTTATTAGGTTGAGAATAATATGAACAGATACTACCTTCTAATTTAGTCAATAGCATTTAAAAAAAGGCAGGCCGAAAGTCGCCAAGCACCCCTTGTTTGACCGGCTACAACCCTGTTCCGTTCAACTTATTTTGGTGACCTACACGAACTTTCCTAAAATGCATTATTATAAGTGTAAAATGCAACACGACGGTCTGAAAGTGCATCATTCTCATATTCTCACAGTAAGGATATCAATGGATTTAATCTGGAACCGGTATAAACCCAAACCAATATAAATATGAACCGATATAAACCTGAACCGATATCTAACGGAACTGAAACAAAAAAATCAAAGAGAACTGAATATAACATATATCAGAAAGAAACACGAACCAAAAAGATCTAACCACGGAACCGAACCGATTTGCTCGATTGCCAGGTCTAGATGTAGTACTTTCTCATTGTTTTTGTTAAGTGCTACGAATTGTATAGTATATATTGGAAGGAATGGAAGGGGTGAAAGACAGCTACTCCGTAATTGTGAAAAAGAAAGAAAAAAACAGAGGAGAGAATATGTAAGCTAGGTCAAAATTGCGGCCAGGATCCTGTCTCGGTCTATGCCTTTAGCTGCAGCTCTGTGATTGCCATCCCAATGTCGGCAGCAATAGCTTCTGCATCCATCTTTATGCCCATTAGCCCTTTCTTTGTGAACCCAGCCATATATAACCCCTTGATCTGTTCACTCTTCCACCTTGCTGCTGGATATATCTTCTTCGATTTAATTGTGTTGTTCCCATTTACATGCTCATCAACATTATGTAGTGTTTCATTGATCTGCAGCATATGCGCATGCGTGTCTTTGTTTGTTTAATTATATGTTCACCCAATTAAGATCGATCAGAGAAAAGTAAATGTAAATATATATATATATATATATATATATATATATATATATATATATATATATATATATATATATATATATATAGAGCAAATTCTACGTACGGGTAACTCATCATAGTGATGAAGCCATTTCCTGACGGAGTTTGTGTATCCGGTGGCAAACACAACCACATCAAAGGTTTGTTCATGCCCGTTCCCAAACACGACACTATGTTCCTTGATAACAGAAATCCCAGGTAGTACCTAATCAAAACACGCATGCAACACGTACTCGATCATCTTTTAGCTGAATCACTCAAGCTTTAATTCATAAGATTTCAAGATCGAGCTAGCAAGCGGTCACTGCTGAACTTTTATTACCTGAATCACTCCTGCTTTAATCTTGCTTACAGTGCCGACGTCGATGACCGGAGATCTCCCCGTCAGTGATTTGAGGTAGAATGGGCCGTGTGCGGGAGCGCGTAATCCATATTTCGACAAATCTCCGTATTTGAGTTTCGCATACCATGAAATAACGGCGTCCACCATATAGAGTGGCACATATTTCAGTAAAATCATTCCCGCGCGTATCATTTCTCTACTGAATATATGGACCTGCAGCATGTACGCGCGTGATCCCACAATCTCTATAAATTTTACCCAAATACTTAATTCAAAACCAATCAAGAGACCAAAGATGTGCGCGCAGGATCGCACAATCTCTTTTATATATATACTCCCTCCGTCCCATGAAACATGAGACTTTTGCTTTTTAGAAGGGATTTAAGAGGAGTGTATTTTGGTATTGAATTTCCAAAAATGTCCTTTGATGTGATGGGTAAAAGTATGATTTGATGGATAGATTATTAGTAAAAAGGTATGATGTGATAATTAAGGTATGAAAAAGTAAAGAGTAAAAGTGACTTTTTAATAGAAATGAGAAGTGTTTTGTGGGACGGATAAAAAAAGATTAGAGAAATGTTTCATGGGACGGAGGGAGTATCAAACTTTTATAATATATAATTACTTAAAACTATATCTAATTTATGGTTAAATATTGTAAAGTTTGACCAAACTTTTTTCTTTTGGGTTGAAAAATTAACTTCCAACTCCTTCTAGTTACTTCTTATAATGACTTAAAAAAAGTATTTATGTCTGATAAATATACAATAACATTAGGAAGAAAGACCAAAGTATATTACCAAAAAGTATAGTAATGTGCACATGTACAGTGTTACATTACCACAGTGTGAAATCCTATTTCGAAAAAAAATGAAAGTCCTAATTTGGTACTAATCTCTATATTTTAGTCCTATTTAGGTTGATTTTTAATAACATTATATATTAAAAATTTAAAATATATCAACTCAAACACAAAGAGTGATGAATTCTTTTACGGAGTATATCTTAAATTAGTCTTTTCTTACATATTTATTTGAGTGGTCATTTAATTAAATGAATTTTTTATACTTAAATTTTTCCAACATTTTCCAACTCTTTCGTGTTTCTTCTAACTCCTAGTTTCTCCATCATCCAACTCTGAAAATATATTTAAAATAAAAATTATACCAAATGATTAGTATTAAAAAAATACTTTAAATGTATTAAATAATTTTAATATTGTTATTAATATATTTTAAGAGATATTGTTGGTACAATTTTAAGTTTAAATAGCAAACCCGAAAGTTAAATAGAAATGAATGGAGTATGAATTAAAAGTTTAACTTTAAAAGATTTAAAGAAAAAATACTCCATATTAAAAAATAAAAAAAGTGTTAACTGAATTCGTTAGAAAGATACAAAGTTTGGTTTTATTTGGTTCTTGTTTTATCGTATAATAGAGTAGATTACAAGGAATAGATAAAAAATGTAAATAATTTTTTAGAAGAATGATAAATAGATATGATGTGATAAGAAATTTAATAGTGTAAATAATAAGAAAAAACATTAATGATTTTAATGGAAACGGATGAATGAGCGGGAAAATATAAATTAGTGATTTTAATTAAAGAGAGTCAAGTATAATATTTTACGGAGTATGTGACAGAAGAAGTATATTTCATCTAGCACAACAATTAAGAAAAATATCGACAAACAGAAAATGTACTTTGGGAATGAGTTTAAAATAAACGAAGAATTTCTTGAAAAAAAATTAAAATAAAATAAATACAGGAGATTGAATTAAGTAAATTAAATCAATTTTTTCCATGTTGCATTTGAGTTTTCCAGACTTCAGAGTTCAGACTATATATTCAAAATAGTTCAGACTATGAAGTTATATGTGAGAGGGATGGAGTTTGTTCCGAGATTAAGGAAAAAAAAGTAATACACCCTCCGTTTTCTTTCGTTTTTTTCCAATTCATTAAAACACTTCCACTTTCTCATATCTTACCTATCACATCATAGTTTTTACACCTACTTTTTCATATCCTACCTATCACATCATACTTTTTCACTAATAACCAAACTATCACATCTTACTTTTACCCATCACATCAGGAGCAAAATTGAAAAGTCAACCAAAATTACACTTTCCTTATCTTGGTCCAAAGTCAAAATAGGAATGATTTTAAGGGACGAATGGAGTATTAAGAAACACCTTTATTATTGGAAAAAATATTGGTAAAGAATTGAAAAAAATATACCTTCCAAAGTTATAGATCCTCAAGTATCAAAGAAACAAAAAGTAATTGGTTTTTCTTTTTGGCAAACAAAGAGTAGTCGGTTAGTTTTCAAAATTTATATAAATATCAAAGTGAATCACCTTTACGACCAAGTCAAGATTTTGAATCATGAGGCAAGAGTTGGATATAAATTACGGAGTATAAACAAAATTTATTGTATACCGTTATTTTTTTATACTCTATTCGTCCCAGAGTATTTGTTCCCTTTTGACTTTTTCGATAACAACAACAATAACAACCCAGTTGAATCCCACAACAGTAGGGTCTGGGGAGGGTGTGTGTACGCAGACCTTGCCCCTACTCGGAAGTAGGAAGGCGACTTTTTCGATAAAAATTAATAAATTTTGACCTCAAATTAAATAAAAATGATACTAGATATTGATACAAAAAGAGTTTTATTGGATTTATTATATCAAATATTTTCAAAATATTATTTTATTTAATTAATATATAATATATATTTTATTTCATTATAGGTCAAAGGTTGAAAACAGTTGACCGAAAAAAGTCAAAACTGGACAAATACTCAGGAACGGAGATAGTAATAATTTTTGGAGACTTGATTTGAAAGAGTCACTGATAAATAACGTACCAGTTGAAAAAATTTGAGATTTGATAAGTACAAAAAAATAATTTAAGGACTAATGGAGCACTTTCAAAAATACATAGGAATATGATAAGCACTAAATAAAATAATTAAAGACTTCGGAAACATTTTCGAAAAAATATACGAGCTAAAATTTTGAATTAAAACTCAATTTTAAAACATGTCCGGACCATTTTCCGTTTAGTCTATGATAACTTTACCAAAGTTGTAGATCATAAAAAATAAAAAATAAAAATAAAAATATTGGTTTCCTTTTTAGCCATAGGACACTTTTTGTTCATTGAAAATTACCGAGTATTAATTAGGGGTAAAATAAAATTACCGAGTATTAATTAGAAAAAAAATTAATTCTAGCAACAGAGAATCAGAAGTACCCAAAATGCTCGGGTCATTCTCGGATTATTTTTGGAAACTCAACACCAAAATACACTCCTTTTAAATAAATTAAAAATCAAGATCAGAGAGTATAAGTTATAACCCATACCTAACTGGGAGTTACTCCCTCAGTTTTATTTACAAAGCTCTGCCTTTTTTTGCAAATCTCATAAAATAATATTCACATCCCACTTAAAATATCTAAAACATCTCAAAAAACACTTTTACTCATAATAAAGAAATGTACTGTATTCCTAAATATTTTATATGGAAAACAAATTTTTTGTGAAATGTGCAAAAACATAAAGACCAAACTCTCTTGTGAGAGGGCGAGTATTAACTTTTACTAAGCACATTTACAAACAATACCCGCTAGTAAAGAGTGGACTTGCGCGCGGACACCGATTAATTTCCTCTTGACTATTAAGATGGTCAACTTAACTTTGATCCTTTCATTTACTAATTTTTTACTCCGTAGTAGTCATTTAGTTTGATATTAACAATAATAATTATAACAAAATAATAATTATTTTGTCATCTTGTGTTGCAATTAAATTTGTATGTAATTTTTAATTATGCGGAAGTGATTTTAACTTTTAATCCGTGTAGGTAAAAAAAAAATTCAGGAAGAAGCAATTAGTTATTATTATACGTAAGTAAAAGTTTATAAATACACTAGTAAAAAATAAAATAATTTTTTTAATGTAGAGGTAGGTAGTGGAAAGATCATAAAAAAGGAAAATGTATAAATATATATTCGTACCGGGCTCCTAACAACGATTGATGCATGGCTTCCATGATTAGAGAGATCATAAGCAATCTCCATGCCGGAATTACCCCCGCCAACGACGAGCACACTCTTCCCTTGATACTTCACCCCGGACTTGTAGTCACTGGAGTGAAGAACCTCTCCCTCAAACCGCTCTATCCCTGCCAGAGCCGGGATATAGGGTTCAGCGTTATCGCCCGTAGCGACCACCAGAAAGGGAGCCACATACACATCCTCTTCCTCCTCCTCCCCATCATTATTAATCTTTTCCTCGTTAACACGGCGGGCCACCACGCGCCACTTGCCGTCGTGGAAAGACGCACGCCCCACGGAGCGGTTGTACTCGGGGATGATCCCGAATGCGGAAGCGTAGTCTTCGAGGTAGCGAACGAAGGAGTCTCTGGGAATGTAAGTGGGGCTAGTGGAGGAGTGGGGCATGTGAGGTAAGGAGCAGAACTCCTTGGCAAGGTGGAGATGGAGGCGATCGTACGATCGCCTCTTCCACAGAGAAGCCAGGCAGTCTTCCCTCTCAAGAACTATGTTGGGAATGGACGCCTTCTTCAAGCATGCAGAGGTGGCCAGCCCCGCCGGCCCGGCTCCCACGATGATCACGGTGGTTTCTTTCATCTTTAAAACTGTTTATCAACTTAAATATGATCGATCTCTGATCTTTAATTTATATAAGAGGCCAGCTGGGGTGTCTATATATATTTATATATTTCTCAACCAAGAAGATACCAAAAACCATATACCTTCGGAAAACTAATGAGTAACAATAATACGCAGTATATTTATGGAAGTGATATAATTAAGAAATTTATGGAAGATCCCATGGTATCATTTTGCCATTATTACTCCGCGCATCAATAACCTTTCCCGCCTTTTTGGGCGTAGGTTAAATTTGACTTTCATATACTTCTTATTAGGATCATCCCATAAAAATTCTATATTTTCTTTGGCCTCGTTTGGCATCAGCGTTACAGATTAGCGTTAGCGGTTTGAAAAAGTTATCTGACGTTAGCGTTTTTCGAATTAATCTACATCATTAAAAGTTTATTCAAAACGCAAACGCTAATTGAAAATGTTCTTCCCAAACAAAGTCTTTATGGTCAGTAAAATAGTTCCACTTTTCACTATTAGAAACAAATTTGTGGTTTACATAACTTACTCTGGTTCCCAATTCCCATAACTTTTAACTATAAAATACGGAGTATTTGTTTTTAATACTATGCTAAGTTAAAGTTAAAATCTTTTTATGGAACCAAAAATTAAATTTATAAGGGTGAAAAATTGTCGTGAATGGTTTTGATCAAAATATAAAAATGGATCATCAAAATGAATCAAAGTATATCTCTTTTTTACAATATACTCGTATTTTTACCCGTACGACGTACGGATTAAACGGAAGTTTTGTTCAATTAGGTAATGTTTCTCTATAATGCAGATTTAGTATCCATCGTGTATCAAAACAAAGTATCTTTGCATTTTATTCAAATATCAACAATATACTAATATAAAAAATTCTCTTTTTAACAAATAATGGATTATTTTTTACCCCAATGTTCAAGTGACATTGGAGGGTAATGTCATGGGATGATCCCGGGGCGCTCCAGTGCCCCATTTGTAAAATTGACAGTTCCTACTCCACCTAACCCCCCGCCGGTAAACCCCATACCCGGTCCTGACCCAAACACACCCCCACCCCCCTTCAATTGAACCCCACAAGTTGATTTTGACTTTGGAGTCAAATATTGATTTCAAAGTCAAAATCAACTTGTGAGGTGCAATTGAAGGGGGTGCGGGGTGTGTTTGGGTCGGGGCCGACTGAGTGGGTTCACCGGGGGGTAAGAACCGTCAATTTTACGAAAGGGGCATCGGAGCGCCCCCGGTAGGGGTGTAAACGGATATTAATCGGATCGGATGTGTTATTACCAAATCCATATCCGTTTATTTTTGTCAGATATCGAATTCGGATACGGATCTTGACGGATACTGAAAATGATCAAAACCATATCCGCATCCATCAGATATCGATCGGATATCGGGTATATTTGTATCCGCTTCCAATTTTTAAAATCAAATTAAAAAATACTTTAATTTTAAATTAGATTAAAGTCAAACTATTATTAAATCAACAATAATTTGTTATGTAATAATTATTTTCTTTATTTTCATGATTTATGATAGTCTACGATAACTTCATATGATAAAAAAATATACACAACACACATATACACATATTTTTATATGTCTACACATATTTTTTATGTGTCTACACATTTATTTTGTATATAAAAATATTTTATACGTTGAAATATCAATAGAGAAACAAAATATAAACATAAAAAATTAGGAAAAATATATATAACGGATCGGATATTTGAATAAATGGTTATTTAAATGGATACATATTCGGATCGGATTTTAAACGGATCGGATATACAATTACCAAATCCGTATCCGTTTAGTAATCAAATATCCTTAATCGGATACGGATAATATCCGTTTAAAACGGATGCGGATATTTCCTCTATAAACGGATACGGTTGCGGACGGTAATCGAATTTTCGGCTATCCGTTGACAGCCCTAGCCCACGGGTTATCGGTTATCCCATGACATTGTCATCCAATGTCACTTGAACCTTCCCGTATTTTTTAGTAGAACACAATGGAAAATGTGTGGGAGACTAATTTTGCGTGGAAATTGCTTTCCCCCAGAAAATAATTTTCTAAAAACATATATTTTCACACCAAAATGCACTCCTAAATTTCAATATTTTCCAATTGCCTCTTGTTTTTTAACTTCATATTTAGTTTTTTTCCAACTCTTTATAGTTTCTTCCAATTAACTTTTTCTAATATAATCAACTTCTTAGAGTTTCTTTATACTCTATCTAGATTCTTCTAATTTTTTTTAATTCCTTTCAATAGTTATTTAAAAATATGTGTTTGTATCTTTCATAATAATAATAATAATAATAATAATAATAATAATATTAATAATAATATCATTATTCTTATTATCGGGACAGCTACAAAGTGGAGGTTTACCGGGTTGTAGGGGATAGGAACCATTATTTTTGTTGATGTAGCATAATAGTAACCCCAATTGAAGTTGGTTTTATTTTCAAAGCCACATAAAGTAAGTGGTTGTAGAACCCCTCCATATTATTATTATTATTATTATTATTATTATTATTATTATTATTATTATTATTATTATTATTATTATTATTATTATTATTATTATCGTTTGTAAAACAAATGTATGAAATTAGCAATTTTTACTTGTAAATGCATATAAACACACACACACAATATATATATATATATATATATTAAAATTTTGTTAATAATGAACGGTCGGTTACAAGCAGGGGCCCGAGGCCCGTTAACCTCGTGACTACCCCGGGGCCCGTTAACAAGCGAGGCAGATAGCCCACTATAGAAAGCCCAAAGTAAGGCCAGCCCCATAAGCCCAAATCTACTTCCCAAGGGGTCACCCATCATTTCTGCTACTCCCATGTCAGCACGCTTAACTCTTTAAAACTCCTCCAAATTTACATCTTCTGGGGATCGAACTCGGGTATATATATATATATATATATATATATATATATATATATATATATATATATATATATATATACACACACACACATACATACATACATACATACATACATATATATATATATATATAACGAATATAGAAGAAAACTTTTTATCCAAATTTACAATGTAAGGTCTCTCAAAGTCTCAAACGAGTGCAAACACGCTCTTTTATCCAAATTTTTTTGTTTTTATTCATTTGATATAGTTATTTTTTATTTTTAATAATTTATTTATTTTTTTACTATTTTATTTAAATGATACGTTTGTTTAATTTGAAAAAAGTATTTTGTACTATATTTCTTTATATTTATTTCCTTATCACTTTCAATAGTATATAAGGAAAGTCTTAACAAGGAAACATTATTTTTAATTAGGTTACTTTCATGGGAAATTTTTAAACATTAATTTTTTTTCTATATAATAATTTAATAAATTAAAAATAATTCATTGAAAATTATTCAATAAGTTTTAATAAATATACTTTTATGCTAAATGTTATCCAATACCAAATTTGGTGTATTATTTATTCCGGGTAGGTTATTGTTTTTACTTTTCAAAGAGTATAAAATAAAAAAAATTAGACATTAATTTGGTTATTAAGTCGAAGTTTTACAATTTATTTCTTTACAAACTACGTCAAACAAGAATCACACAATAGTTTATTTATAACTTGTTTTGAACATAAATATACAAATAGTTTATCTTTATGTTTATATTATAGGCAGAAAGACCAAAGTAGGACTACAATGGTCATGTATATTACCAAAAAATTATAGTAATGTGCACATGTAAAGTGCCACATTACCACAGTAAAAAGTCTTATTTCGACGAAAAAAACATGAAAGTCCTATTTTGATACAATTTTCTCTATGTTTTAGTTCTATTTAGGATGATATCTATATATTATATCCTAAAATATTATATTCATCATTAAATTTTGTCTTTGTAAATTTAAAATCTAAATGTATCAATGTCAAGATTATATTAAAAAAATTCCTTTCTAAAAGTTATAATTTCTTTATGAAAATATTTCCTTTTTAAAAAAAAGTTATAATATATCATAACAAAATTTTAATCTCGATAAAATCTTTTGTTTTTATATTCCTTATTATATATTTAAGGATATTATAATTATTTGAATAAAAATTAGTGAATAGAATGAAAATTTTCTTTATTGGGATAATTTCTTTATTTAAGATATCATAAACAAATACTTTGAATACAAACTTTTTAGAGGTTAAGAGAACATTTTATATATCTTTTATTAATTTAAAATTTTGTTATAAATGAAAAAAATAAAAAAATAGGAAGGAATATTATCATTAAACGGAGATCTCTCTTTTATAATCCTATATCCTTTATCCTTTATATATAAATTTGAGAGTTTGATGCATAAGAGCTTGACATGTGACACAATATAAGGTATACATGTGAAAAAATATGGGACATATTATGTGGCAATTGGTTTATGAGCTAGACTCCATTAAATATTATTTGACATGTGATTAAACTTTTATTTTTTATCAAAAATAAAATAAAAAGTAATAAATTCTTTATATTAAAATTTTAAGAATAAAAATATTCAATAACTCCTTTATATAAAGTGATTAAACTTTTATGTTTAGAAAGTTCATATATGCACTACTTATGTGTCTTATTACACCTAATATATATGACACATAATTTAAGACATAAAATATGAAAAACTATTTTGGTATGCAATCTTTGAATAAATTTAATTACGAAATATTTATATTCATTTTTATCATAATACTTTTTCATGATTCTATATTTTTTCTCCAGTTCTAAAAAAATTTTCAATTGCTCAATACACTAATTTCTTTGCCTCTAAATAAATTTTACATGATTGTTTACTTATGATAAGTTAAAATGAATTTAGTTTTGAATATATTTCTTTCAATATTGATATGAAATATAAAATCAAACAACATATTATAAAAATTACATTAACATTTTTTCAAAAAAGAGACAGATGGTTTATAATAATGTTCAAGTATAAAAAAGGTTATTATACATAATTTTGTAAGAAATTATTTTAATTATATAATTTTAGTTAATTAGAAGATAATTTATACTTTATAGGCTTTTAGATTCTTTATCATTTAAATGTAAAAATATATTATTTTATTAGC